TGTCCACGGCACGTGTATATGTGCTGCCTCCCTGTGGTCAGATATCGTCAGTACACTACACTTCATAATAAAAGCCGTTCGTTATTGCACTCACTCATTGCAGTCTGTGCAATGAGTATATTTAATTAATTTTTTAAATATTAAATGATCGATCATTAGATCAGTTGCAAAGTACTGTAGTAGATTTTTATTTTTATTTATTTATTCTTTTTTTTCTTTCTTTTTTTTATTTTTTACCAAATGCTTATTTTACTCTTACTTGAGTAATTTCTTGGACGACTACTTTTTACTTTTACTTGAGTAAAAAAATACGATGCAGTAACAGTGCTACTCTCTCTTGAGTACCACTGTTTGGGTACTCTGCCCACCTCTGTTTGCTCTAAACTCATATTAGTCATTCACTAGTCATTAACTGTGTGAACTTTTTTTTTTTTTTTTGATTGTTTTACATGTTTATTAACTGTGTGAACTGATACCTATCATGTGCCACCAGAGGCACACGCATGTACACTAAGTGGCGACGTTTGCTATCCGTCAATGAGAGGATGATGAAGAAAACGTTGCTTAAGTAATGTTTTTTTTTCTGCCACTCACAAAATGGCGGACGTATGTTATTGAAGAAACACGGTGGTCATGCGCATCTGAACAGCTGATCGTGCCCTCAGAAAGCAACATGGCGGACTGGAACAGAGGTACAGTTTGTTTTTAGACACGTATCCACTTTCTCAGATTAAGCCGTTCGTTATGTTTATCAACCAAATAACTCTTCTTATTGCCTAAATGGAACGTTGTGGTGGTGGCTAAGTTCGAACCCCACCTTATGGGATGACAACTGCGATTAATTAATCTAAACTAGCCTTAAACTTGCGAAGCTAGCAACTTTACAAGTTTCTAACAAGGGCTAGCAAGACTTAGATGAGCCCAGATTTCACATCCAAAGTCTTAGTTTGTACAGTTATAAGTTTGTACATTCGTCCTTTCATCACTTCCTCCATTTACTTTTTTGCCATTTTTTCATTCCTCGTGTCGTAGTTCTTGTAGACATGCATAGCAAGTCTACAAAGGCGTTGATGTTTTGCAGTAAACAGCCCTGTAGGAAGCAATTTCAAGCCGAAAATCGTCCCGTTATGGTTTTGCGACGGATTTAAAATATAAACGTTCGTTCTAGTTTTTATGACTGCCTCCTTTGTCAAGAAAGGAAGTGTATCTTTAACAGGGATTTCAGTATTGAAAATCAGTCAACAGTAGCTGTAAGGAAGCTTTCTGTATAGTGTGTTTGAAGGCAGTGAAGCTAGGCAACCTGTACAGTGGGTGTAAAAGCACCTGAGGCACAAGACACACATAAATCACTGGATAAAGTTTTATTTCATCTGCTTAAAAGAAGCTCTGTTAAGTGCTAACATTTTCCTCAATCAATGAGAATGAAATATAAAGTCTTGAATTAACAATTGTTGTTTCTTTAAAAAAAAGTCATTCACACTTTTTAAATAAAAGCTGCAATGTTTAAGAATACCATGAATGTAATTTGACTGGACTTTACTAGAGAACTGATTTACAGGAGAAATACAATTGTTAATTAGTTATCCATTATGTCTCCAAATTTAAAGGTTTATTTGTTTTTTTAAGTACTTAAACTATCAAAAAGAAAAACAGAGTGGGGTGTTGGGAGGCATTTAACAAAATTCCTGGTTTTAAATTCCAACTTGTAAACATTTAACACTGGCCTGGGCGTTTGTGTCTGTGTGTCTTCAGGTCATGGCTCTGTCGACAGCATGCTGGATGCTGAAAACAAACGACTGGCTGATAACTTGGCCAGTAAAGTTTCCCGACTGAAATCGGTATGTAAAAACCAACAAGAGCTTATTTCCACCGGTCTAATTATTGGTGATGGTTGTCCGTTGTCTGCCTGTCTGCTTGTTATTTTGAGATTCTAGCCACAGCTGCTACTTCCTTCTTCCATTTGTACGCGTTAAAGGGGCAGTATTATGTAAAATAAATTTGTTTGAGCTTTACATCATGTTATAATGTTTACCCTCATCAAAAATATACCTTGATTCTTTCATGCATGTTTGAGAAATCCTTTAAGTTTTATACCAACTGAAGGTAACATGGTTACTTGATTATGCTATAAAATAATACTATGTGCCTGGAAAATACATAATACTGTTAAATAAATTTTTTTCTCCAAACTTAAAGGTTTAGAATTTTTTTTTTTTCAATTAAGAAAGCTTTGTGACTTTTATGGACGTACAGTTTGAAATAAGGAGTAGTTCCAAACTTTGTCATACTAATTAAATCTTTCTCTGACAGCTGGCTTATGACATTGACAGAGACGTGGAGGATCAGAACGACTACTTAGACAACATGGTGAGTCCGTCTTGTCTCTGATGTAAGCAGTTCTTGCAGACCTCTAGGTCTTATTGCAGGTGTGTGTTGGCAGAAACTAAAGCTGTAATTGTCTTCTCCCTCTTCGTCTTCCAGGACTCAAATTTCATGAGTGCAACGGGCCTGTTGAGTGGCAGTGTGAAGCGGTTTTCCACAATGGTCCGATCTGGCAAAGACAATCGACGCCTCCTCTGCTACGTCTCCGGAGGGCTGGTCCTGGCCTTCTTTCTTCTCTATTACCTGGTTTCCAGGATCCAGAGCTGATTTCAGGAAAGCATCGTCAACCCGTGTTGATGTGAAACTCAGACTGACAAACCTTAGCTGATAGGCTTGAGTAGCCTCTCGGGTCCTCATGCTAAGAAAAGACCTTTTTGATAAAAAGAAACTGGATGTATATATGTGTATGTTTAGCAGAACTGATGTGCAGCAGCTGGTATTTGCTATCTCACCTGGGGAAACTATAGTGGGTGTTGTTATGCTAAAGAACAGGGAACATGCCAACATGCCGATGCTTCCACACGGAGCTAAGCGATTCCAAAGTGGAGCAGAAAGAAGGCTTCACTCAAACACGTCAAGGAGGAGTTACCTTCAGCCCTGCTAAGGTCATGCTTGCAGTCCAGGATCTACATGAAGTTTACACCTCGTGATTGTTTGAGAAGCGTCTAAACAGAATGGTTGATCCTCTGCCGTCATGCTTCTGGTTCACCTCGGGTTTAAGTAAGCAGACTGAATTTACAAAGTGCTAGTCATGGATTCCAAAACAGCCATGAAAGAAGGGTGGATGTAACTGAACATGTGATCACAGCTACAGCACACCAGGCTGGGATGCAACCAGAACAGTAAAACCTTTAAGATCATATGGTCAGATGTCTGTTAGTCTGCTGATTCAGTTTTTTTAAAATCCCAAGTTATAGAAATAATAATCAAGGATTTTTTTGGGTCTTTACATTGCTATGAAAGAATGAACAGAGGAATTCTTGGCAATGTGAAAACTTGAGTCCTGTCCAAGCAAATTTACCTTCAGTAAACAACATTTAATGTCGGTCACAAAAATTCCTGTTTTCTCTTGAAAATGTAGTTTCTTTTTGGGGGGAAATAGGTTTGTGAGCTCATAAAGTAATAGTGGTTTAAAACCCAGTATTTTGTTTGATTTGATTTCTTTATTTCAAACTGGTTTTTAAAAACAAGAATAAAAGGCAGTGCATTCTGTTCAGTTTAATCCTTCAGTATGTGCATGTCAGGCTGATTAGTACTTGTTAGTAGAGTCACAGGAAAACTAGGCTGGTGTGTTTAAGAACCACTGATAAACTAAATAGCTCAAATAATTTGTCATTCCTATCAGCAAGCTTACTCACAAGATACTAACTGTTACCATATTGTAATTTCCATGTTCTTTTTTATGTTTTACTGTGTCTACTTCACCACTTATTAATATCACCCATTGTTGAATTTCCAGTTGGTTTTTAGCTTAATTTTTTTTCTAAGTATCCATAATAGAAAGTTTAGAGAACTGAATTTTTTTGTATTTCCCTTTCTTCCCATCCTCTCCAGTTTACAGGTTTTTTTGGGGGAATGTTAGTTTTAACAGCAGACTTTTATTTACTGATTGATCAATATTCATCTTTAGCAAAATACGAGAAAACCCCCTGGGAGATTTAAATTTTAAGCAGTTTCTGATAAATTGTTATAGTCTAATAGGAAACTCCTGACATGTAATGCTTAATTTAATATGGATGAAATTCAAACTAATTTTTCTCAATATGCCTAATGCACTGTGTAAAATACTGTCTGATTACTTCCTGCTCTCAGATTACATAAATGAATTACTCTACCAGTAAATGAATATTTCTCACTAATAATTTGATTGTTTCTTCTGGAATATAATGCTAACTTTTCAGATGTTTTAGAGGGCTCAAATGCATTATAGCAAAATTAATTACTGTGTTTCATTTAAATATTGATCATAAAATGATCAAGATGTTCTAAGTTGTTTTCATGAAAAGTGCTTTGATATTTTGTTTCATTGGCTGTTTTGGAGGCATAATTGAAGCACATTGCACACATTAAAGGGAACAGTGAGCACTTTATTACTCTTCAGTAACTTGTCTGAATAATATAGAGCACATCCACAGACATGTAACAAAAGTAGAAAATATTGAAACTGATCAAAAGCCTCCACTTTTTTCTTTTTACTTTTTTAGCTCACTATACCAGAAAGTTCTGCTGCACTACAAAGAAGCCCTTCATAGCAAAAACTTTTAATGCCTTAGTCACAGATTTAAAATAATTTGTTGTAAATATTATCTGCAAGTGATTTATTTTGCTGTTATTTTTATGTTGTCTCTTGTTAAAATGCTTACATGGTTTTCCATGGAGTTTAAATGGAGCTGGTTTGTTCTAAGTGTGTTCATAAGCAGATGTGAATGGATAATGTCATGTGTTCAGTGAAAGGGCTCAGGGTTAGGGCTGACAAAGTTCATATTCTGTTCTATTCAGGTAAATTTGTTGCAGCCAATATATAATTTTTATTTTATGAATGATTTTGTAATTCAGTATGAATAATGTTCCACCACAGGCGGCCCTGTGGAAGTGCAAACAAGGAATCTGCTCTGAAACGCCAGGAAACTGAAACATGAAAATTAATAGAAGTCAAAAACACTGATTTTAAGACAGTTTTCAACGAGTTAGAGAACAAAGCATGGGTATTTTGATGATGTAAATATATTTTAATAATCGTTACTTGGATTTACAAAATATACATACATAAATTTCCGTTGGCCGTTATCCGTGTCTTAATGTTTGGAAGGTTGCCTGAAAAAAATAAAACCCTTCTCCAGTTATATTTCTGTTTCCTGCCTTCTTTGTGAGTGGTGCAGAATGTCAATGTAGAGTTAGACTCATAAATCTTTGTGGTTTTATGTTTAAGCCAAAAAAAGTGAAGCTTAATGAGATCCATCATCGCTTAAGTATGAAATTCGCGTGCAAAATTGCTATTATTCGCCCGTTTCTCCTCGGTTGAACTCGTACCAGTTCGGCATTTTCCGGTTTATCGCTTGCCGTAGGTTTGAAATAAAAATAAATTATGATTTCCCTTTAATTTTCCCGGTCAGCTCGTATATCCTAAGAGTTTTCCTGAGTTTCTGGTAAATATAGTTGTAGTTTATTTAATACAATTTACTTTACGAGTTCTGTTACTTGTGCGTCGCTTTATTCGAGGCTCCGGGAACCTCGGATCTGTTTCTTTGTTCCGCGGCCGCTCGGCCCTATTCGGTTCTTGTCGTTCCGCGGAAGAATGGACGAGGCAGCCTCGGCCACGAAGGCACTCGGGCTGGATGAACCGCCCATCGGTGGGTCGGTGGAGGGAGTGGGCTCGGATACGGAGTCGGAGGCCGAAGTCGCTCCGATGTCTGTGATAGCGGAACCGCGAAACATCGACATGAGAGCCGAGCACCTCCCGAACTCAGACGAGGCCGAAGCGGCATTCGCAGGTAGGAAGCAGCAGAAGGCCATGGCTGTTCAGGAGGGTTAACAGAGGGTTAGATGTAGTTAGCATAACAAGCAAATGTATTACTTTTTATTGGTAGAAATCACATAAAATCACAGGAGTATTCTGCATTTTAAAACAACCACCGAAACCTTGTGGTTGATATTTGGACCCAACTTCATTCAAATATGTTCCTGAAGTAATTTTAAGAGTCTCAGTGATTTAGGTGTTCTTTCATTTTCCTGTAAGAAATATTTATAAATATAAATAGTAATACAAAATACAGATATTACTCATAAAAGTAACCCCGCAGCTATAAGTAAAAAATATCAATATAGAAAATATATTGTGGAGGCTGCCTCAGTCATAGTGTGGTTATTAACCCCCACCCACCAAAAATATTACATTTCATCTATAATTACTTACAAAATAAGACTTCAGAATTTAATGTGTTCCTCTCTTGCAATACAAAGTGAAAGAATCAAAGAACTTGAAATAAATGGATACTGATGTATTAGTTGAACTTTGGTTACTAAAAATTGTCCTTTTAATTGTTTTTAAAATCGTGGAAGTTTGGAATTGTGTCATTTCACTCTGAATAAAAAAAGACAGTTTACCATAATATTTATGCCAGTAGTGAGTATATTTAAACTTCTCATTGAAACTGTAGAATACAAAGAGAGTTTGCGACAAATAGTACATTCATTTTGTACCCATTGTGAGGTCATGATACTCTTTCAGTGTTCTAGTTTTATTGAAAAACATTGAACAATACCCAATGACACAAACTTATTTTAGTGGCACATGAGATAGTGCGCTCAAATATAAATATAAAGCTTAGGCAATTGAAGGCCAATCTTGTCTAACTTTACGGAGGTAGATACGATCGGTGGATATGGTCGGTTTCCCATGGAAGTATTGGCTGATCACCCAAAATCAACGAAATTGGGCCGATTGGTCTGTTCACCCCAAGATGCAATCTTAACTTCATCAACATAGAGGAATTTAACGTGTTAATACAAGCTTTTATTGTGTCCCATACTTTCAGCTGTGAAACTGGTTTGACTTCATTTCACAGTCCTGTCTTATTCACAGAAATAATTTGTTGTAGTTTTTCTTGGACCTCAGTGATTTTTATCTTTTGTGGCTGATCAGAGGTGGCTGCAGTGACCGTGGCGGATGTTCAGGCTGCAGAGGACAATGTTTTCACCACCACAGTCGCTACATCCGCAAGCCTTCCTGAGCATGTTCTGGTAAATAACACCTCACTGCTCACATCTCTCCAGGGACTTATGTTTAATTTGTAAGATTACTTCATGGAGGAATAAAAGTGAAAGTCCACTTTTATATAATTTATTCTGACATCATAAATATTGTTGTGGAACTTGTGAAAAAGAATTTGTCTAGAAATTCAAAAATCCAACTTTAATATCTGTATTGAAAAACATTCTATATCAGTGACAATGTGCCTGACCCCTAAGGGCAGATCTATTGATTCTAGTTCTATGCTCTGTGCTCATTCATCATTTATTCTACACTATGTTTATAATTCCTAATTGAACCTTCTGAATCATTTGAAAGGTTTGTTGCAGTTCATTTTTTATGTGTTTGACCAAAGTAGTCAACCTGTTGTTTTGGTCACTTTCAGTTTCATTATTATTTATTTTAAATTAGCTGTTCTACTCCTAATCGATTGACTGAACAAATTAAACTTGTGTTGTTTTTTCATGTTTGACCAAGCTTGGGAATCCTTTGGTGCATATAAGAGTACTGTACTGGTGCAAAGTTATCAAATATGTTTGTAATTCACTACATTTATATCTGTGTTAAAAAAAACCCAGAATACATTTTAAGTCAGTTCTGCACTTTTTTTCTGTATCGGATCGCCATTGGCCGATGCTAAACCTCAGATATCTGTGTGGTATGGGAAGTGAATATCATTTACAGCATGTTATTGTTTGACTGTGTGCTGTGTTTGTGTGCTTACAGAGTGGCAGGACCACTCTGCAGCTGGGTGAAGGGCTCAGTACCCAGAAGGCCACCCTGATTGTGGTTCACACTGATGGCAGCATCGTGGAAGCAACGGGCCTCAAATCTGCTGCCACCATCACATCCGGTGTGCTGCACTGTCCTGGCAGGACGATGCTTTTTTTTTCTTTTCATCAGCAAGCGAAAAAATATCACAAATGATTCGTATCCCTCTGTGTCCGTCTGTCAGGCCCTCAGACTCCACCCACTCCTCTGACTCCGCTGCAGGACAAAGACTCTTGCTCCAAATACAACTGGGACCCGTCTGTGTACAACAACGAGCTGCCAGTCCGCTGCAGGAATACGAGCGGAGTCCTGTACAAGAACCGGCTGGGATCAGGTGACATCTTGTGAAAACTGTGGCTTCTGTCTTGTGGTATCAGCACAAATCTGGTGTGTCTACCTGCCTGTATGTATAACTGGGGCTCAGCTTTTTAAATTTAATTTAAAAAACAAGTTACTTTTTTAAAATAATATACTGGCATCCTTTTCATTTTCCAATATCTGATTGCATTTTCTGTCAGTATTAATATCGGATATCGATATTGGTCCAAATCTTCATATCAGTGCATCCCTACCTAGTACAATATGTTTTAGTCCTGAGTTTGCAGAGCACAGTGGTTAAGTATCGGTGATTAATAGCTGCTGAAGCGACTACAGCCTTGAGAAATGCGAAATCTTAGCAAAGTTAGGAAGACTCAGTAGATCAGGTAACCAGTTGGTCAATGGAGAAATGCCTGGACTCGATTGGTCAGCAGTTTTCCAGCAGAAACTGGAATTCATCCCAAAGCCAGACTTCTGAACATAAAGTGTGAGCTCCCGAGTTTGAAAATGAAATCTCTGCAGTCTGTTGTTACTATTAGTCTGTTTTTAAGTAAATTTTAGACATAAAATGTGATGAAAAACACAAAGCCACAAGCACAAACTTACAGTTTGAGCAAAGGACCTTTTTAATTCTCTGCTCTTTCCATGTTCTTTTTTACGCTTCTCTGTGTTTATTTCACAATTTATCCATATTATTCATTGTTAAATTTCCAATTGGTTTTAACTTACCTTGTTTCCTCGAAGGGTCTACAATAGAAAGTTTAGGCAACTGAATATTTTTTTGTATTTTCGTTCCCCCCCCCCACACTCTTTGGTCATGTTGGTTTAAACAGCAGACTTTTATATATCGATTGTTTGATCAACATTCATCATCAGCAAATTACAACACAGTCTTGTTTGCGTTATTCCTGATGTTTTCCATGCTAAAATGGTTCTGCATCATTCAGGGGGCAAAGGTCGTTGTATCAAACACAACCAGCAGTGGTTTGCTCCAACTGAGTTTGAAGCTTTAGCGGGAAGAGCGAGCAGCAAAGACTGGAAGAGGAGCATCAGATACGCTGGCCGACCTCTGCTCTGCCTCATACAGGTACTGAACTGTGCAACAGCTACACTGTAGGACCGCAACTGTACTGAACGCTTTCATGGTCTCATGGTGTGTTTTACTATTTCATTCAGATTCTAAACAGAAAGCTGGAATACATATCTGCCTCCTCAGTATTTAAACTTGTTTGTGCGTGTGTGTGTGTGTGTGTGTGTGTGTGTGTGTGTGTGTTTTAGGAGCATATTCTGAACCCTCATGCTGCTTCCTGTACGTGTGCCGCCTGCTGTGATGACCTGACACACGTGAGTGTCTGTAGGATTCAACACATGCCAGATCACCAGCAACAAAAAATATGAACCCCTGTGTTTATGCTGGAGACTTTTATTGTGAAGTAAACCATCTTAAAAAGGATCATGTAACCGTTCCAATGACGTCAGCAGGGAAACTGCAAAACAGAATCTCCAAGTTGTGGTTTTGATGGACTGAAATGAACCCAAATATTTTATTTGTCTTGGAAAACCCCCCAAAATTGTTTAGATGTTAGTTTAGGCTTTAATCTTACTACACCTTACTGACTCAAATAAACCCATGTTTTTCATTTTGTCTTATAGAAATGTATTCGTAGCCCAAACACAATGAAGAACAATTCAGATTAACTAATTAGTTTAATCAATTAATCATATGATAAATAAACTGGGTAGTTTTTTGAAAGTGAATTTTGATTACAGAGACTTCTTAATACATTTTACTTATGGTTTCAGTTGTAGGTAGTTTTTATTTACTTTTTTATGTATCGTTTTAGGTTGATGCATTTTATTTTGGATAATATTTAAAATATCTTCCAGTTCCAGTGAGAAGTGTGCTGTACAATATTAAAGTTAACTTATCCATGAGAGGGCATACTTACATTGTTATGCCATTCTCAATATATTTCTTTAAAATGGTCTCAAAAAAGCAGTATTATCATTTATCGCAATAATTTGTGAGACAATTTATTGTCAAGTAAGGTTTGTTATCGTGACAGGTCAATGCGCATAAAGTTTATTGAAAAGAAAAACCCAAACAAAGAATGAAATGTTTGGCAATGTAGCATCTAGATGGCTAATAGTACCTCTCAACATGGCCCTGCTCTTATAACACATAATGGTTAACATATTAATTAAATTATGAACTCAATATTTATCCAAAGATCCAGCATAAAGTTGGGTGAGCTGTTCAAGTGGCAGAATTAAGATTTTCTCAGATTTATGCATTTATTGATATGTATTGCTTCTTTTACAGTCACCAAAGGAAGGGGACTCTGTGACACCAGAAAATATCACCATGGTAACTGTTTAATGTTTGTTTTTTGTGTGTGTCCAGCATTTATATTTAACCTGTTGTCTATTTCTGGGTGAATTCCTTTCTTTTAATACGGTTCAGTAGCTCTGTGATTATCAGGGGGAAAAAAACTTTCTGTAAATACAGGATCTACTTTTTTGTCACTGTTTATTATAAGTTTGAAAATAATTAATTTTAAAATGACCTACAGCTCATTCTTAATCACAACTGTAAAAAAAAACTCTTCCGCATATGTTTACAGGAAATAAGTCAATTGCTAGAAAACTCAGTTTTGATCCTAACTGGAGCTAACCTCTCCTCTGACCTCAGAAGGAATAAAACATGGGAGGATGTGTCTGAAAAATCATTTGAAGTTTGTTCCAGCTGAATTTTTATGTGGAGTTTATGATTATAAGCTCCCATATGTGATTGCTGTGACAGATTCCTGATTTACAGATTTATCCCCATCTGTTAAGCCTTGTAATTCTACTCTGGAAGCCCCTGCCTTCTAATGCTTTTATTTTTCTATACTTTCCGCTTACTTATTTGTGTGTGTTTGTTAGTTTAGGGCTCCAATCTACCAAAAGCCACAGTTAGCAGTACGGTAGTGCAAGAAGTAAGAAAATCTAAAGTGGTAGTTGTCTAAAACATCTCATCAGCACTCACTTAAACAACAGCTGCTTCTTTTTTTATTTTTATTTTTCCAGACCGGCCCTGTCCGTCTCTTTGTTCCTTACAAAAGACGGAAGAAGGACAACGAGCTCCCGGTTGTACCAGTCAAGAAGGACCTCAGCCCCCTGAAGAATATCCAGCTGACTCCAGGAACCACGTGTATGTAACAGAAATCAGCTTCCATGTGGCTAAAAAAAAAAACAAAAAAAAAAACTTTGAACTGGTTCTTGCTCACATTTAGGCGCTACTGTCATGGGAGCTCATTAGGATTATCATATTTATGTTTAACGTTAGACCAGTTTTAGGTCAGACAACGTATCTCTGATGAGCTACTTTTTGTGCTCAAAATGTATTTAGTCAGACCATTCCACAATTTTTGCTTGCTTTATCCATTCCAAAACCAGGGGATGTGTAGGATCATTGTCCTGTTCATGTTTTAACAATCTGACCCAAACTGTCACAGTCAGAGGAAGAACAACTGATTCCGATATTCAGGAATAATTCAGCATCCATCATAACCTGAAAGATGCTTCATCAGCAGTTCCACTGTCCACCATGAATGGAGTTTCACAACAGCATGCCGTCATACTACGGATCTGTGTTACACTGCATGTTTTTTTGCCAAAGAAAATTTACGTATGCTCTTATTCTGAGATTAGAGAAAATTACCAATAAATTCAAGCTCTTAAATATTAACTGCATGCATCTTTAAAAGCCCTTAATTAAGATAATATCCATGCACAGGTTGAGGGTGTATAAACGTTCAACAGGAACTTCACCTACATACTGGGATGGATAGATGGATGGATGGATGGATGGATGGATGGATGGATGGATAGAATATATATATATATATATATATATATATATATATATATATATATATATATCTATATGAGGGTTCCGCGCTGTAGTCTGTATATATAAC